TGTAACGAAATTCCTGAGGTGATTAACAGGAGAAAAGGTCTCCTTGGCTCACACTTTGGAGGCTCCATCTATTACTCAGTGGCCCCCTGGCCTGGTTCTGGGGGCTGGAGTGTGGTGGAGCACGACCACTCACCTTGGGGTAGGGAGGGAGATGAAGGGACCAGGGCCCCACAGTCTTGTTAAGGGCACCTCCTGGTGACATAGGACCTTCCACTAGGAACCACCATCAAAGGTCCACCATCTCCACCATGCTACCTGGGACCAAGCCTTTAGCACACAGGCCTTTGGAGTACACAAATCCAACCATAGAGCTGCACTTGATCATTTTCTGTTGCCACTGGCATCCTTGTGACATCAGCCAGTAGCTGCACTGTCCCTTTGTTCTTTTGGGAGAAAACATATAAAATAGGAAGCCTTCACTGACCTGGTAAAGACATTCTAGGAGATGCTTTTCAAAGCTGACCCTTCATGTCAGCTGCCTACTTCCTCCTTTCCTGCCTTGTCCCCTCTGCCCCTTGCTGCTGCCCCTTGCCCTGTAGTCCCCGGCTTTGGTGTGGCTGACTGGCCCTCCCTTTTCCAGGTGTCCTGCCCTTGTCCTGTGCAGTTACTCGGGGAGCATGCTGGCCCCTGTGCTTTGGTAGGTTGGCTCCTCTCCTCTCACTGATGGGAGCCACTTCCTACACCACTTTTACTGATTTACTGCTGAACAGATGCCTGCTGAGCCATATTTATGTCATGCTCACAGTTATTTTGGAGGAATTTCTTTTGAATCAGTGATCTTAATAATAGTTGAAGGCGTTTACTGAGAAGGTGCAGTTGCAGCCAGAAACAGGAGCTGCCGTGCTGTATTCAGGTGGGGATTAAACGCAATCCCGTGTGTGGTCTGAGGTACCTGACACAGAAGTGGCCGTGTAGGAGCAGTCAAGACTGAGCCCAGCCAGAGTCTCTGGGATTAAGCAGGGAGTAGGAAAGCAAAAGGGCTCACAGGCCGAAGACTGAAGAGGAGAGGAGAGCCAGGGCTGGTGACAAACCTGTGCTCGCCTCCAAGGCCGGGCTTTGGGCAGGGTGCTAGCTGGATTGTATCACTTCAGGCTCTGTTTTCTGTCTTGGAAGCTAACCTCTAAGTACCCAGCTCACTCACTTTTAATGCATTTGATAAGGAGTATAAAGTTACTTATCAATCTGAAAAATGCTTTAACTCAATTATGCTAATGTTTAGCAATAAATTTCTGATTACCAAAGGGTTGATCAGCTCCTTTAGCCCACTGGGGCATCCAGCTGCAGTCATTAAATAGTTATCTTACAAAATGAATTTTTAACCAAAACATGTTGTTCCTCATTCAACCTAAAGCTAGTTTCAGAACTGACATACTTGTGGTCCAAATCTGGGGCTCACAGTGAAGGATGTGTTGCTTAAGTTTTCCTGAACTCAAAACCTCAGCTTCTTTATCTGGGAAACAATAAATACTTATTTCATACCATTATCATGGGAGGGAAATGAACTTTAGAAAATTGCATACACAGTAGCTGGCATGTAGTAAGTAATAATTAAACATTATTACTAAAGCTTCCCAGAACAATAATGGCCAGTATTTTATTCTTCCTCAAAAATCTCCTTCCCCAAACCTTAATTCTCACCCCAAATCTCATTGCTGAACGTACTGTGTGGCTGTGATATTAAAGGTAACCCGAGTAGGAGGTTTTGAATAAACTGAGAAATGGGTAATGGCTCCCTCGTTCCCTTCTCCAGGCTGCACAGACCCCTCCCACACTGATCTGCCCTGATGTATTTCCTCCTAAAGGGTGGACTTCAGAAGAGAGTAAGTGTAGAGCCCTGTGTCTGTCACCAGCGGTAACATTAACTCGACATGCAGAATGAGTCACTTTGTGGACTCCAGGAATAAGGACCAAGATACAAGTTTTGCTTTATTTAGCTGTGCAGTTTTGGACCGTACCACTTCATCTCCGTGGATGTCTTGTCTTCTCCTCCATACGGTAGATGTAATCACGCCCTCTTCAAGGTTTCTGTGAGCGGTATTGGAATAATTTAACTTTCTAGAGCATAGCAAGTGCTCATTAAATGCCCCCTCCCTTCCCCGTCCCTGTCATTGAACACCCACACCTAGTACATCGGTCTTGTCAAGCCTCTCCTTACGGTGGCTGTGGTTTTACGGTAAGATTGTGAAACCGGCTGGGGGAGAAAACCAAGCCAGTAATAGGGAAGGTGAGGATTCAGACTTGGAGGTTGCCACTGACTGAACCCTGGAGGTGATAGGCCTCTTCTTTTTCCCTTCCCACTGCTTCTCCCATTGTCTCTCTCCTTATCCTCTAACCTAAGAGGGTTCCCACTCCTGTACTCATTTCTATATCAGATGCCATCCAGCACACCTTGTGTAATTGATTCTTGCTTTTTTCACTTTCTTCTCACTGCTAATGATAACCAGTGTTTGCTGGGCCACACTGAGCAGACATTGTTCTAGAATGTCATTCTGCTAAGCCCTTTAAATCTGACCACTGTTTCCGCAGGGCAGGCCATTTCCGACTTCTGTCTCAGTCTAACAAGTGCGGAAACTGAGGCAGAAGAGAACTGAAGTGGCTCGTTGACTCATAGCTGTGACATCTGAGTTGGCATTCTTTCAAACATTACAATTTTCTGTGTGTTGGCTTCAGAATGTTTAAAATTGGCTCAGACATAATTCTTACCCTTAAAAGGAGATGGCCCAATGGAGGGAGACAGAAATACAAAGGACTGCACTATAAAGGAGTTCTAATGACCACTAATTATGATTGGGCGAGTGTGGCCAAAGAAAGAGATTCGTTTGGCTGAAGTCTGCACAGAACGAATGATTTTGAATACAGTTTTTACAGGTAGGGAGGGCTGGATAAGAAAGATATTCCAGTCAAAAGATCGTAAAAGTCCCTGGGGCCTGAAAGAATTTAAGGCCCTTTGTGAGCAATGGTCACTCTCTGGAGCTGGAGCACGGTGTAAATGCAAAAGTGCACTTGTGGACACACGTTTTTGGGCTTTGGCTTGGGCTTGGCATTTTTTTGTAACAATGATTGCCTAGAACAGTAGCTCTGGAGTAGTAATGCAGGCCAGGAGGTCTGGACATGAACACACCAGAGGCATTGCCAAAATTGCTACTTTCATTTAAGTGGGAAGCAGGTATTTCACTCTAGGTTTGGGAGATACAGGATTTTTTATTGAGCGATTAGTAGAACATTTTATTCTACCAACATCAGTCTTAAAATAATGTATTTACCCTGCTGAGTCCTAAATTTCCAAGGTCTTTATAAGGAGAGGCCACAAAGAGATAATAACATAAATAGGTTTTGAACTTAATCCAGGAGTCGGTTTCTTGATAATTTTATTGGTAGAAAATAGGTGCTACTTTGTAACTGTGAATAAATACCTGACTGTTTCAGAGAGGAGGAGTTATCCTCTGACAGTGTAGAACCCAGAAAAACACAGGCTGCCCTCACCAGCCCCTTCCCTCCCCTGGTTGTTTCTGTTCCCACCCACCCTCCTCTCCTTCCGGGAAGCCTGGCTCGTGGCCAGAGCACATGCACCTCAAGCCTGCAGAATCTGACTGGAGCGAAATTGGCAGATATCCAGGTGAAGGAGCAGATGGAGTCAGTAGGCTCCTAAAGTAGTAGGCAGTTGATGATGTATTCTTTGGTGAACTGGGTAGGTTATTTACCTACCTGCATAGTCCAATACCAGCAAAGACTTTGGGCTATTGTTGTTTTTCTGGAATACGTTTCAGTAATAAAATATTCAACCCATTCAATTCCATAAAAATTTGAATACCTACTGGTACAAGGCACTGTGATAGCAGAGCAGTAAAACAAAATGTAAACACTATTTTATGCAATGGAAGACAGTAGCCATCACAAAGCTTACCAACATGTTTCAAACACTGAATCATAGAGTAAACTCTGGTCAGCCAGTTCTCAGCTATCTTTACACTTACTGTATCTATGGCACAGCTTCTTTTTATGGTCTGACTCCCACACCCACTCACATTCCCAACCTCTGGGTGGGTTTCAACCATGCGCTCCCCACAGGGCTGCACTGGCTGATTAGACAGGCTGTGCTGTCACAAGCCTCCAACTTTCAAATGTGTTTTACTGTTGTAATCTTTTTACTTTTGACTCTTCTTAGTCTGATACAGCCTTTAATTTTTTTTTCAACTCACGGTATTTTATTAACAAATTTGATAGCTATATAAGCTCTATTTTCTCCTCACATTAATTCATTGTATGAAATAATTATTTGCTTGGATCACATTAATTATGGTTTAAGAAATTCCTAATCACCAAAAACCTAGAAAAGAAGAAATTATTTGAATAAGAGAAAGTCTTACATGCATGTATAGTGTAAGTTTGTTGAATTTCAAAAATCTAGGGTAGGGATAATACACTTAAATCTTTTTGCTCCCATTAGTAAACACAATTTTAGGAAAGGAAATAAGGTGGAAAGAAAATGATGAAGTTAATATGGCTGATTAAATTATAATTTTATCCATTTTAATAACCATCCTTATTACCTTTGTTTCTACTTCATTTGTGCCCATCTTTAAGTGATTTATGAAAATACATTATAATTTATAAGTAAATTTGTACTTAAATTTAGATATCCTCTGAACATTTTGCAATTTTTTTGCACATTAGTTATAAATATTTTTGGAAAATGTTAGAAATGGGGAAAATTGGGAATTTAATTTTGATATTTTCTTTAAAATTTCTTTTCAGACACTAATAAAGGTACGTGGAAATGAAAAGTATTCATGAAGCCCCTCCTACAGAAGAGGATGTCTTTCCTAAACAGATTCCGGATCTGGATTTGGGGACACTGACGTGTGGCAGGGCCGTGTCTGCCTTCTGTGTCATCTTCAGTGACTCACAGATTGTCTGACCGTGATGCTGGCCTTGGACACACAGAATTTCAATCTTATACCTTGTTTACTTCTTTGGGGCAGAACAGCTTGCGCTAATTGCTCTCCATGGTGGCTAATCTTTTCAAGAGCTTAATTTTACCTTATATACATAAGCTTTGCAAAGGAATGTTTACAAGGAAATTGGGAAATACAACCAAAAAAAAGGAGAATCATCAGCAGAAAAAGGGTCAAGATTTTCCTACCGCTGGCCAGACCAAAACAGCCACATTTTCTAACACTTTGAAAAGCACTGTAAAGAGGATTGCAAAGTGTTCGTCCACTCGCAACTTACCTTCGGAAGAAGGTGAGACTAACAAAGACTTTTCCCTCTCACCAACATTCAGTTACCGTGTTGCTATTGCCAATGGCCTTCAGAAGAACATTCAAGTGACCAGCAGTGATCATGAGGGTCTGCCTCAAGAGCTGTCTTCTGTTGAGAGTTCTTACTCTGAATCTTTAAATGAATTGAGCAGTGCGGAGGACCAGACCCATCCAGCGTGTACCATGCCAGTGGGGCGAAGCAGGAAGAGCTCCAGCAGCCTTGCTCCCTCGGAGGGAAGCTCTGATGGGGAGCGCACACTACACAGCCTGAAACTGGGGGCTTTAAAGAAGCTGCGGAAATGGAAAAAGAGCCAGGAATGTGTCTCCTCTGACCCAGAGCTGAGCACTGTGAAGAGGACCTGGGGGTTAAGGAGCAAGTCTTTGGACAGGACCGCTCGCCGCCCCAAGACAGCAGCCCTAGAGCCAGGGTTCAGCTCCTCTGGCTGCCTCAGCCATACACATGATGTGATGGAGATGATCTTCAAGGAACTGCAAGGGATTAGCCAGATTGAGACAGAGCTGTCTGAGCTGCGAGGCCATGTGGATGCCCTGAGGCTCTCCATTGATGAGATCTCCAGCAGTGTGGAGGTGGTGCAGAGTGAAATTGAGCAGCTGCGGACAGGTTTTGTGCAGTCCCGGAGAGAGACCAGGGATATACATGACTACATTCGATGCCTAGGTCACACAGGCAGCAAGGCAAGCCTGAGGTTCTTAAATGTGCCTGAAGAGAGATTTGAATACACTGAAAATGTGGTGTACCAGATTCTAACAGACAAAATGGGCTTCTCAGATGCACCAAATGCTGTGAAAATTGAATATGCTCAGAGGGTGGGACACCAACGGGACTGTCCAAATGCTAAACCTCGACCCATACTTGTGTACTTTGAAACCCCTCAGCAGAGGGATTCTGTCTTAAAAAGATCATACAAACTCAAAGGAACGGGCATTGGAGTATCAACAGATATTCTGACTTACGATATCAGAGAAAGAAAAGAGAAAACAATACCATCTTCCCAGACCTATGAGAGTATGGACATGAAGTTGTCTACTCCAGAGCCCAAAGCAAAGAAGAGCAGTTGGCATTCACCTGGTGACAGCGATAGGGAGTTGGAATCCGACTTCAACAGAAACAGTTATGCTGTGCTTTCCAAGCCAGAGCTTCCAACCAAGGGGAGCGCTTCCAAGTCAAGCTCAAAATCACACAGTGCTAGATCTAAGAATAAAACTGTGAATAGCAGCAGAATTTCAAACCAGCCAGATCATGATGAAACATCTTCACAACTACCAGGATCAAATAATGTGGAAAAGCAAACCATAGCCCAATATGCAGGTGCCACGCCCCTGTGGCATTCACAGAGTGATTTTTTCACTGCTAAACTCAGTCGCTCTGAATCAGATTTTTCCAAATTATGTCAGTCTTACTCAGAAGATTTTTCAGAACATCAGTTTTTTGCTAGAACTAATGGGAGCTCCCTCCTGTCATCCTCAGACAGGGAACTGTGGCAAAGGAAACAAGAAGGCACACCTGCCTTGTATGATAGTCCTCAAGACCATCATCCTGGTGAGAGCACTCCGGGTGTCCAAGTGCAGAGTGAACTTCAGAACACAGAAACTGTGGACAGTGCAATGAGTAACAGCATGGTATATGCATCTGCAGACCGAAGTCATTACAGTGACTCTCAGCTCTCTCTACATGCAGACCTCTCTCCATGGAAGGAATGGAATCAGGTGGAACAAGGAACTGATTTAGGTTTGGATTCATCCACTCAGGAAGTGCTGGACTATGACACTAACAGTTTATCTGACCAACAGATGGATGTCTTCAATAAAGACCTAGAAGACATAGGAAAGTGCCACAGTGACCTTCAAGATGACTCTGAAAGCTATGATTTAACCCAAGATGACAATTCATCCCCATGCCCTGGATTAGATAATGAACCCCGAGGCCAGTGGGCTAGCCAATACGATTCTTATCCGGAAGCTAATTCTAATGAACTGTTCCAAAACCAAAGCCCATTGTCCATGATGTATCGAAGTCAAAGTGAATTGCAAAGTGATGATTCAGAGGATGTCCCACCCAAATCTTGGCATAGCCGACTGAGCATTGATCTTTCTGATAAGGCTTTCAGCTTCCCAAAATTTGGATCTACACTGCAAAGGGCCAAATCAGCCTTGGAAGTAGTGTGGAACAAAAGCACACAGAGTCTAAGTGGGTATGAAGACAGTGGCTCCTCCCTAATGGGGAGATTTCGGACACTGTCTCAATCCACTGCCAATGAGTCCAGTACTACGCTCGACTCAGATGTCTACACAGAGCCCTATTACTACAAAGCAGAGGATGAGGAGGACTATAATGAACCAGTGGTGGACAATGAGACAGATTACGTTGAAGTGATGGAACAAGTCCTTGCTAAACTGGAAAACAGGACTAGTGTTGCAGAAACAGATGAACTAATGCAGGAATATGATGCTCCTTTGTATGAGACACCATATGAAACCCCACAGGATGAGGGTTACGAAGGGCAGGCAGATGACGTGGTCAGTGAAGGGGAGCTAGAACCTGTAATTGAACTAGCAGCTGAAATGCAGATACAAGATGATGAAAACCAAAACATCCCCGAACAGCCACTGGAAATCACAAAGCCAAAGAGAATCCGTCCCTCCTTCAAAGAAGCAGCTCTGAGGGCCTATAAGAAGCAAATGGCAGAATTGGAAGAGAAGATCCTGGCTGGAGGTATTCATGTTTCCATACTGCATTATGAGCTCATTGTGTTAGTGATACTTTAGAATATATTCATTGTTTACCTGGGAGAAAGAAATTACTTGCAATGAGTTTGCATGTTTGTTTTGTGAAGGATTTTTAGTTATTTTGGGTAGCTCTTCCAGCAAGTGGGGCTTGAGGATTTAAAATACAAAACATATTTTAAATAGGTCATATTGAAATGAGCCCAAATTCAATCCTACCAGCTATAATTCATGATTCATCTGTTAGCTTCAGGCACAAAACCTATCTCATACAAACCAACTTTGTGGCCTCAGTTATGCAGGAAAGGAGGGGTGAAATCAATGGGCATCCTCTTCAGCCGGTAGCCTGTGGGCTACACCCTAGTTCTAGGAGATTTTTACAGGTGGGGTATCATCTTGAAATATTTGAGAAGGTGAACTCCCCAACTCCACCACTCCTCCTGTCAAAACTACACTTGGTTAAAGAGTTAGGTCTGCCCAGACAATCTTAGTGAGACCCATGGGGACTGCAGACTTCCTTACCACCTGCTGAGGTCGCTAGTGAAAAGAGAGAGCTGAGAGCCGAGGCCACACCTGGATGGACACAAGCTGTTCTCCGAGGATGAGTTAGAGGAGAAATGGGAAGTTTTTCCTTTAGAAATAGAGTAAAAGTCTCTTCCTCACTATGAAAATGAGACGAGTAACTTATCTAACAAGTTTTAGTTTTCCAGGGACACAATGTTGGATGATTTACTCAGTAGTTGCGTATAAACATGTGAGTCTATTGACTTTTTAAAAAATTTCTCAGCCAAACTTCTGCACTCACCTTAATTCCTTACCATTTACCTTATTTGCATGCTTATTTTATATTTTGGGGCTAATTTATTATACTCTTAATGAATTATATATTGTAATTATTTTCTTAATTATGGCATTTATCCTCTGAAATATTTACTGTATATTATATTTCATAAAAGTATTCTTATGTGATGTTATTTGCTTTTAAGAAATATCACATAATTTATGAAGTCAGGAGTTGAATGTGGCTTCTCTGTATCGTTAAAAGTATGATCCGATGTTCCTCCAAACTGACTATATTCTGGTAGATATTGGTAGTGTATTGAATAATGGAACCTTTTTGTAAAGCCACTTCAAGCTCTAAAACAGTAAAAACTGGTAGGTTTCTTTGCTGTAAAAAATCATTCATATAATACAACACAGAACAGTACATAAGTCAAGGGGATCTTGGGTGCATTGGCTTTGATTTTATTGTTGTTTTGTTCAAAGAGGGAGTAGTTCTCAGCTACGTTTAAAATTGATTTGGAAATGCAAATATTCAAACGTTATATAAATATAGCTTATATTATAAAATTATTTATATCAGAGTGACTTCTGCTAGTTAGTTATCCTTATTACTGAGTCTTAATTAATGGTATCTAGGGATTGAAGCTAGAAGTTTAACACTGTCTTTTATTTCTGTTGATTCAGAGAGGTCTACTCTAAGATAAATTGAGGCTGAGCTCTGTGTATGTCTGTGAGTATGTGTGTTGTGTTGTAATAGATAAGTTTTAATGTCATCTGGCTAAGGTATCTGTTTGCAATGTAAAGAATATCAAAATAGAACCAGATCACCAATTTCAGAAGAAAGTTGGAGAATATATATTTTCAGCTTTAAAAAGTCAGGGGCTCCTGCCATTTCCTACAACGTGGATCAAACTAGCAAACAGTATGTTAGGTGAAATGAGCCAGACACATACCTTCATTATATGTAAAATCTGAGAAAGAAGAAGACAAATATACAGATAGGAAATAGAGCAGTGGTTACCAAGGAGAGTGTGGAGGGGTGGAAGTGAGAGATGTAAATGAGAGGGTGCAGCCTAGCAGGGACGCAGGAGGAGGCAAGCCTGGGGCTCCGATGTACGGCACCCAGACCAAAGTCAACAGCAGTTCTGTACTGAGATGCTAACCGAGCAGATTGTCACCACTCTGGGCACGCACAGCACACACAGCCACTCAGATATATTAATTTTCTTCACTTTGACAGCTAGTAACCATGTTATTTCGTATATGCACCTCAGCATGTTGTCAGCTTTAACTGTACACAACAAGATGAATTAAAAATTGAAGGTGGGTGTATCGGTCCACACTTGTAGTCACAGTTACTTGGGAGGCTGAGGTAGAAGGATCACAAGTTTGAGACCAGCCTGGGCAACCTAGGGAGATCCTGTCTCAAACTGAAAAGGATTGGGGCTGTATCTCAGCGGTAGAACACTTGCTTAGTGTGAGCAAAGTCTGGGTTCAATCCCAGACTAGTAGTACTAAAAAAATAGCAAATTTTAAAAAATTTAAATTACCAACCCTCTACTGAGTAGATTGTTATGGTAACACCATTCAACTAACAAACAAGCCTAGTCATCAGGTGACACTTCTTGGAAGGCACAAATGTAGTTGGGTAACCATATGCTACCAATGTAAGAATTCTAAGATGGAAATGATCTTGTGCCCACCCTTGTGTGGGAGTAGGCCTGGCTGCAGAGGACCCGGGCCCTGCCGCCATCTTGAAACTTGGCTTGTTGTCATCCTTTGAGCTACTTTGAATGGGATGTATTGGACATTCCCTGTCCTAGAGGAAGTGAGCATGCATGCCTAGCTTTAAGATGCTCCCTGGTGGCCGAGAGGCGCCAGATTGACGACCCAGGAGGCTGCTGTACCCTAGATTATAAAGGCCATCTCCATTCCCCTTGGCAGCGGTCAGGCAGTTTTCCCTCCTGTGCTACCAATATGTTTCCAAAGGAAGGGCAGCCAGAGGAGGACAATTTCCAGGCCCTTTCCCTGGGCAGAACTCCCAACAAGGTGCCAATTGTCATGATGGTTTTTGTGCCCATGGCCATCTGCTTGCTGGGTATTGGGCAGGTGCCAGCAGATTTTCTCTCCATGGCTACCCAGTCATCACTAAGTAACAGTGCTGTCTTTTCCATTGCGAACCTGCCTGATTGGACCATAAAGGTCTCGCTGTAAAACTCTGTGGGATGCTGCTTTCCTTACCAAGTTATAAACTCAGACATTTGGATTCTTTATATCAGCTATTGTACTCAGGATCTAGAAGACAAGAAAACCCAAATACTGGTAGACGTGGATATCTGGTGGTAGAACCTTCAGTTTGAATGGCATTCCAGTAGGGTAAGAAATCCTGGAGGTCAGTGGGTGGAAGTGTCCCCGTTAGCTAAGGGTCCTCCCATGATGGGCCTGCCAAGTGGCACTGTTTGTGCTGCTAGTTCAAGCTCAACACTATGGCAGGAGCCTTCTGAGCCCCTGCCTCAGCCCTGAGCCCCTGGAAATAAGGATTGTGCCCTCTGAATTTCTGCACATCTGGCTCTTGCGGCTCCAGCTTCATCCTGGATTAATGCACATTGCTCATTTTCTCTTCTAACGTGTCATCAAGAGTAAGGTCTTGTCCTTTTCATCCTTTCCTTTGTGGTATTCCTAACCCGTGCTCTGTACAGAGATAAGAGTGAGTTTGTAGGTGCTGGTTAAGGCCTCAAGGTGAGCTTATGACTTTGCAGATGGTGAGCCCAGAAGCATTCTTATGCACTAGGCACTTTTCACTTGTTTCACCCCTTTTCACTCTTTCACCACCCCTGTGAATTCGACTCCAGATGTGCCCAGCATGAATTGAGAGTTTATTTTGTTTATTTAGAGGAGCCGTGTCCCACCCCAGTTTAAAGGCTGCTCATTATTCATGGTTTAAGTAGGAAAACCATAATTAAAGATGGAGAAAAAAATCCACTGAATTTATCTCAACTCAAGGATTCTCAATAGAAATCGGCACTAACATGAAAGGCCTTAAATATATGGTAGGGTGAAGTTTTGATATGAACTGGTTCATTCTCAGGTTTTCTATGTTAAACTTCTAAGAAGTAAATCCCATAAATCAGTTTGTAGAGCTTAATAAGCACTTTAGTGCAGCAGCTGCCTGTGGGATGACATATTTGAAATCTGAGTGCACTCTTCCTGAAATTGAAGCCTACAGTCACTCTGAAGTGATTTTCCTAGCAAAGGACACAAAATCTTGTTCTACAAGAGACTGTGACATTGGTAATTAGCATGATTACTGTTTTATTTTAATCATGGTGTGTACTTTATTTTCTAAATGGCTACGAGACTTTGTTAGAATATCTTGGCTCTCAGATAAGAATATAAAGTTGAATGTGTGCAGGTGTCCTAAACCTGATGCTTTATTATGTGGGACCTGGTGTTTCCCAACTGGCAGGTTGTTACAATCACCTGAGGAGCTTTGGAAGTCTGTCCCTGGGTGGTGTTTTCAAATTACCAAACTATAGAGCATTATGACTTAGTGGATCCAGAGTGGGCCAGAAATACGTATCGAAATTTATATGAATTGCTGATACACTATGTAAAGCCTTCTAGTAAAACAAGCACACACAGGGGCGATTAAAACCTACCAAGACAAAACCTAAAGTGAAAGTTCATCAAAGGGACTGGGGCACCCCATGTCCATTGATGCCATGAAGTGGGAAGAACTTCGTGTCCATGGACTGATGACTGGGGAGAAGGACAAGGGGCGCAGACCCTGTGGAATGCTGTTCAGCCATGAGCACAGAAGGAAGCCTGTCATTTGTGAAAACGTCCGTAGAACAGAAGTCTTCTGATGAGTATAGTAAACCACAAGGACAGAAAGACAAGTAGAACAGCTGTATGTGGAACACAGACACTAATTCACAGAACTTGAGAGTGTTGCTTTCCAGAGACGGGGACAGGAGGATGGGGAAAAGCTGACCTATGGGCCCTAAGCTCCAGCTGTGCACGGAGTAAGATCCTCGGGCACAGTAGGAAGAGCAGAGATAGTAGTCGTGTGCCATGTGTCTCAAAAAGCTAGCTGGAAGGATTTCGAAGTCTTCTCCATAGAGAAATGACAAATATTTAAAGGGGGAATCGTGTTTAACCTGCTTCAAACTTTATACAGTGTGCATATGTATTGAAACATCTCAT